GAATGTCGTTACCGGTGAAGCAAATCACTGTGCTCACTGGAATATCCGTATCCAGAGTAAATTAATTGCGAAAAGAGCTTACTGACAAGGGACAACTGCAAACGCCAGAGAAGAAAAGAAACTGGAAGAAACCAGTGATTGAAGCATGCAATCACTTTGTAGTGTAGCCACAGTGTAGTTCGATCAGAAGTATTTTTCTTACATCAATTGGGCAAAAGTGCAGAAACGAAACACCAACGCTTGTTAAAAATTGTTGCAGCTTGTGAATTGTACTCTTATCAAGAAATTCCGAAAATTAGGCCAACCAATTTACACAAATAATGGACATCCTGTTATTGACAACCACTTCCTGAAGCAGACTGATCGTAAGTAAATTAGTTGCATGAACATGACATTTGCAGGACAGCTCTTATTCCATTTGAATTGCCGGTGTATACTACTCGTGTCATTGAAAGTAGTTCGCTAGGTGTAGTGCTGTCCAATCAGAAGCGTAGTGCGGCGCATTTCAGTTGGTTTCCTACACGTTTTTTCTTTGGGTGAACGGATAATGAACAATGATGAATAGAGATATTTATCGTATTTTTCGTCATCAGGCCCCGGAAATAAGGGTTGTCTATAATTCGCCGTTTCCGGCGCACTATTATATAACATTTTCTTATGAAGGGTGAGAAAATAAAAAATTGATATTTTGAGTTAAATGGCTTAAATGTCAATGGATTTTTTATTTGGTCATTACAATTTGTTTTGTCATAACAGCAATGAGCAGAATATCGCTATAATTTAAAATATACAAGCTAAGAAATTGAAATACAATAAAACTAGTTTTAAATTGTTTATAATACAAAGAGTGCATTTTTTGACAAAAACAATGTTATAAATACTGTTTACATTTACGAATATCTAGTTTGAAACACACTTAGTAGGTGATTCTGCTTCCAAAACTGTAATATACGGTTTATTGCCTTTATAACAATACGTTTACTGCTACAATTAAAACATCAGATTTCATAATCCCCGTTAATAAAATGAGAAAATATACAAATGAGATGCTGTTTTAAAAATACTATTCTAAAATCAAATATTTCAAACAGTCGTCAACAATGATAGTTTAACATTCCAGTAAGCATGTAAGTTTCTGTATTGTACAAAGAAATCTTTTAAAGATATTGAACAAAACATTAAAAAATATTGAATTATTTAATATAACCTTATTACGCAGGAATAAAATATCCATTTCAAAATATAAGACATCTTGTTGAAAGATACGTCATCAATAATGAATGTTATTTGCTTCAATATTATCCCATGACTTTCATTTTACTTACAATTTGTTACAATTTATGGTAGTATTTCTGTTTCGAGATGCAAACGCCGATCTCCGTTGTCTTTCGACGTCCTGTCTTGTTTTCACGCCTGAAATTCATGCACAACCACAGCTATATTTAACGGGAATGCGATCTTACACTTGAGTCTTCGGATCTGTGCTTCAATGTACATGGCGGTCCTTTACTTGCAGCTTTCATTATTAAAGGCAGCACCACGAGGAGCGAAGAGGGGAATGAAGGGGCAAGGATTAACTGCTGAGCAGGCGCCGGCGGCCAACTGTCGAGGCGGGGCTGAGCAGCAAAGAACGTTGCGTATGGCGCCGGCGGCCATTTGTCGGTGTGGGTGTGGGTGTGGGTGTGGGTGGGGGGCGCTGAGCGGCCAAGCAGGCTACGCATGGCGCCGACAGCTGGGGATCATTGGGCTCAGCGGCAGAGCAGGCTGCGGCGGGTGCCGGTCACCTGCTGTCGGAATAGGGCTCAG